TGCTGAACTGAGTCTGACTCGGGTGAGTTCAACCCGAAAATTTACATTAATTTTTATGGTGCATTAATTTTTTTTGCTCATTTTGTGTAACTTGTTCGCCTGTTTCTCGCGACTGAGGCGAGTCGTTTTTTTTTTCCGAGAAAAAGCTCAAAAGCCAGAAGCAGTGTGGATTTGGCGAAAGCAAGATTTGCGACGGGATAAGCCACGCAGATCAGCGCGACGAGGATCTCTCGGCTTCAGCTGCAGGATTATCTCTCGGGATTAGCTCATAGGATCGTGCTGAAAAGGGGCAGATGCTCTTTCTCCGCCTTTCTGGTTTGCCAAAGGATCGATGAACGAGTGCATTCCACGCTGTGCGAATGGGAAACAGTCACTGATGATTCAGGAAGAGATCTCGGGGAGTGGAAAACTTGACCTTTAGATTTAAAATGTAGAAATATGAATTATGATTCGGAATACTCTTTAGTTCTAATCTGCATTCAGTCATACAGTTAGATATGTATAGGTAGGAAGTACACTAGGCACGAAACAGATACGTTATTTTTGAAAAATACCGGAAAACGACAACGTAGCCGACGGAAGTTGGAAGTTCGACGCACGGCGCTCGACCCCACACGCCCTGGCACCCCGCGCAGCCCTCCTCGCGCGCACGCCCCTCCCACTCGACCGACGGGAAGACGAAGGGATCGGGAAAACGAGAGTCGATCTGACCTGCGACGGCCCAGGATTCCCCCGTCCCTCGGGTTGTCAGCTGGTGCTGCCGGCTGGGGAGTGGAAGGTTCCAGGTGAATGCGCCCGTTCGCAGGAGAGACGCACTTTATAAGTCCGATCCAATATAGGCGAGTTTGCGTGCTGCTGCCTTCAGCTCGATGGTTAGGCAATGAGACTAAGAAATTCATCATCCTCCCAAGTATACTTCTCCTCCCCCTGTTTTTATCCTCTGCCCGCCCCCCCTCCCACGCACTCCCCTGTCCCCGCCCCCTGTCCCTGCCCCCTGTCCCCGCCCCCTGTCCCTGCCCCCTGTCCCCGCCCCCCCTGTCCCTGTCCCATGTCCCCGCCACGATCTGGGTAGCGCACGATGGTCGAAGTTCCATGAAAAACTAGAAAAAACTGAACGGTCCAAAGTTGAACCAGGATTCTGATTTCGCGCATTTCCTTTCGGAAAAAGTAGGTAGCCGTAGGGAGAACGAAGGTCTCGTGTTCCGGCGTCTCGCTTGGCTTTCGCATACCTCAAAAGTTAAATTTCATGCGAATGCTCCTTTTTTCATGTTTTCCAACCGCCACCATGAAATCGTCTCATTTCGGATAAATATCATTCTGAACCCACATGCAGCATATGAGTGAACGTGTCGAAGTCACAGCAAACGTCGCAGTTGAGAGTGGCTCCTTTAGTTCCAACAGGGAAGCTGGCTCCTTCCAAGTTAACCTTTAACGCCGCCAAGTTCGATGGTGCGGTATCAGAAAAAAAGTTTCTCAAAGGAGTAACCTAAAGTAGTGCACCGCGCTGGTCATCGACTCCCACCAGCCAAAATACACTCGAGCACATTTTTGGACTGCAGCAAATCATTTCTTACCATCTCTGCATTGAAACTTCTGAAAATGAAAAAAAAATCGAATTTTCTCGGGGTTTTCGTTGAATCCCACTCACCGTGCGTGGCAATTAGAACACAGAAAAAAAATGGAGGGAAGCCACGTTGTCTTCCTCGTGCTCTCCCCCCTCCCCCCTCGCCCCTCTCCCCTCTCCCCCCCCCCTCCTCCTCCTCTTCCGTCCATGGTTAAAGTGAAAATTTGATGAGCTGTGAGTATGATCCGAAAAGAGACTCTCCATCTCAGGATTTCCGTCTTTAGTGCTATAAGTAGGAGGATCGCAAGAAGGTCTAACGAGCGGATTTCCTGGGGTGGCTTCGGTTCAGAGAATAATTCCATGGCGGAGGTGAGCAATTATCCCGCAACGGGATGTGCCATTACCCCATTTGCAAATGTGGAAAATACCAAAATATCCCCAGCTCACTGCTCTGAGGGCCTTTCGTTTCCTTCTCATCTGACCGACGTAATGAGGCACGCCTTCCCCGTCGCGAGGAAAATGAAGCGAAGAAAAGGCAGGTGCCACGTCTGGTGATTACCACCCGGCACGGCTGCACCGCACTCGAGAGGTAATTCACAGCTCACAATTTCACAGCTCACAGTTTCACAGCTCACAGTTTCACAACTCACAGTCTCTCGATGGAGGAAGTTCTGGAAGCGACGGCTAGCTTCGAGAACGGACGGTCTCCCGGCGTGTGCGAAACCCGGACGGAGGCAAGGAAAGCCACCCGCACCGATGGATGCTCGTGGTTGCACGCGATGCGTCCAACTGCCAGAGAATCGAGGACGGCACCAATGGATTGGCTGTCCGGTTTGTAAGTTCCTCTCTTTAACCTCTTCAGACCCAGTGGCATGATCACATGCCAAACACGAACACGTTGAAACCCCGGCTGAAATCGCTTCTATGTCATGGATCACACTGTGAGCCATAGAATAATCGTGATCTCCGCGCTTCCTTCGATATGGCCGTCAGCATCGTCTGCGATCATAAATGCCATTGTCCATTGCTCATTATTGGCCCTAAAATTATGATACGTGTTGAACTGCATTGCCAAATAGAGTAGGAAACTATTTATAAATAAAGGGATATCTGACTTATCATAGAGCTCTAATGGGATAGGTCAAAACATGGATGAGACGTGCACATACCACGAGACATCGCGCCAGTAAATTTGGGTTTCGGGGTCTAAATACACAGAACTCCTTCATCGGTTTGAATGCAGTGGCATTGATGTACTTGACACGTGTAGGTCCAGCACCAGGCTTTCGAAATCGAAGAGAAAGACTAGAAAGGAGACGAAGATATGGACAGTGGCGGAGGGGGGGGGGGGACGAAGGACCAATCATGATTGTTTCGGGGATATATTCGCAGGCAGTGCCTCCCGCTTCATTCACCACCTAAAGAAATCATTTCTTGTGGTGCTGTTCGCATACCGGGTATTTAAAAAGTGAGAACCACGGCCCGGGGGATTAATGACCACTCTTTAGCTAGCGGGGTGGGGAGTGTGGGGTACCGCGGTGCCTCCGCATTCTCGAAATACCATCCGGCCTGATTGCTACTATTGGTGCAATGACAGGGACAAGGCCAATGCGATCCTTGATGACTGGCTTCCATAAGCTTCTGAGAAAAGAAATGCATGTTTTCAATGACTCACCTCTATGGAGGAAAACCCGGTGGTAAAGTACGCATCCCACTCTATTCCTCCGATACCAAGAAGGATAAAAAAATATTGGCTTTTTGCTTTGACCATCGGAGGTGGAGCTCAAGTAACGAACCGAAGGATTTCAAAATTGGCATGCAACTTTGCCGTCGGGTCTGAAAAGGTTAAAAAGGCGGGAGCCGAGGGAGTTTACTCATTACCGTGGAATCACTCTCAGGTCACCTGGTAAGGTCTGTGCTAAGAAAAAAAGACTCTTGTAGTCTTTGGAAAGGAACACTGCAGAAATTGCGAAGCATTACCAACCAGCTCTTCACTCCACAGGTGATTCTCGAGAGTCATTCGGTGCACGCTGAAGAGGTTCACACGCGCCCTGTGGCTCTCGAAAAGGCGTGGAAGCCGCGTGGCAATGGTCCTCAGTCCTCAGACCGTGAATTTCTGTAAGGGGGCGAAGGACTCCGCTTTTCGTGTCGGGTTCCGGCCAGGTTTTTCGTGAGCATGGATTCATCTTCCCTATCTCATCGGCTTTAATTAGGGATTAGGCTCATTCAGGGTTCAGTTCGCAAACTCTCCCTCACTCTAGCCATTTGAGCATTTCACTCGGATTCTTAAAATAAGGATAATGTTGTGCTTGCTCCTTTCCTGTTTTGATGAAAAGGGGCGAAATCACGAATTTTTTTTCATTGGCTGTTTCACGCTGGTATCTGATCGTTGTACGCTGTTCCGCGTTCGACTAGTATTCAATGCAATTGCCAATCATAGGATCAACATGTTAACAGCGGGGGGCATTAGTCCAATATTCCGTCACAAGAAAATCTTTCGGTTTTGCACACTTGACTGTGAAGAAACTGCTACGACTCATCTTGAACTCCATGTCGTCGAAACGTCCACTTTCCTCATTAGACGCTGACTATCTTCGGTCCCATTGTCCTCGAACGATTACGAAGAATGGAGAGGGAATACAATAGGGTTTCATTATGCATAAGATACATTTGCGTCTGCTAAGAGTCCGCATTTTCTGGGAATCCCATGTTTAAATTGTTCTTCCATGAAAGTCGGTGACGTATTTTACAGGGGGGGCAGGGGGGGGCAGGGGGGGGGGGCAGCCGCCCCCCCCCCCCCCGGGGCCNNNNCCCCCCCCCCCCCCCCCTGGGTGTGTGAGACCCATGGGTGTCAGGGGGGGGCCCTGACACCCATATGACAGAGCCTTGGAGGAAATAATTTACTCACCTGATATCACTCGGGTCGGGTTTGGCGCCCCAGTTCAGTTGTCTTGCCCCCCCTGGCCCTTCAGCCAAAATACGCCACTGATGAAAGCCCTTCGTAGAGTTCAAGAGACAAGGAAGCTGCAAGGCAAAAGAAAATGTTTTCATAATCTGGTCTTACTACTTCACTCACTTAACTTCTCTCCGGGAACGATGGTCAATGAGTGCCATTAACAAGTTAATGGAAGATGGACGACATGATGCATGCTGACATAAATGCCAATTATTCATCCTGATACTTCACGTTCAGAAAAAGAGAAAACAGCTGCGACAGAGCTGTCGAACGGGACATAAGAAAAAGGGAAGGTAATAATTTTATCTAAGGACAAAACCATCCAGAATTCCTTGCCGAGATTTGCTGGTATGTATTCATGGACTCAATCCATCTCGAACAAAGAGGGAAAAACTAAGTGCTACAGATAAGAGTTGCAGGTCGGTGAATTGCAAGTCGAGATAGGAACGGCATTGATGAAGATAACGCTCACTCCCTAATACTCCATGTCTTTAGTCCCTTTCCCAAGAGTCGATGGACTGGCAACTTGTGAACTTCATCATTTCAAATAAGTGTACGGTACTGTGATGGTACAGTTTGAAATTTAGATCTTCATTCTGGGAAGAGGAAGTGTCCTCATATCATTTGAGATATTCTTCCAAATTAGAAATGGCGGCCAACAGGCAATTGAAAATTTGCCTCGTGGGAGTGGCAGGAAATGGAAAATCCACTCTCGGGAATATTCTTCTCGGGCTCGAGCCCGACGACGATGGCGGCTTCGAGACTAGCTCTGGAGCTAGGAGCTGCACACTTGGCGTCCAGTGGAAAGATGGAAACTTCCGAGGACGAGCAGGTCAGCCCATTCGAGTCATCGATACTCCCGGTCATGGAGACGGGGAAGGTCGGGACAAGGAACTCAGAAGGAACATGGTCGAGGAACTCAAGAAGCAGGAGACGATAGATGCATTCATTTGGGTGAAGAATGCCCAGGACCCTCGATACACCAAAACGGAGGCCGAGTATTTCCAAATCCTCATCGAGATCTTCGGAGGTGCCTATTTTCATAATTTTGTAGTTGTCTTCAGCCGGTGGAGCTTCAGCGAGAAGGAGGAACAAAAACGCAATAAACTTAAGAAGCCTGTGACTTTTGAAGGAGTGAAGGCTGAGCTTTGGGATTCTTTTCTCCGCGATTATAAAGGTAATCGGAGTCTCGTTCAAGTGCCAATGATGGCTATCGATGCCCTGTACGATAGTAGCGATAAAAGCGAGGTCGACGCTTTCGAAAACGAACTGAGGCTACTCTGGCATACGATGAATCAATTCAGTGCCAAGCCCGTGAGCAACATCGAGATGGCCTTGACAAAGATAGAGAAATTGAAGAAGCAAGTAGAAGAGGATCAGGATAAGGTGAAAAAGATGAAAAGTCGGTTGCGCCAAATGGAACAACAGAAGCAACGCGAGCTGGAACTCCAGGAAGCGGAATACCAACGCCGCATCAAGGAAGCAGAATCGAAAATCAAAGAAGAAAAGGAGAGAATGGAGGGTCCTCCATGGGTGAAGTTCATCTCCTTTCTCGCCACCCCACTTGCCATGCTGCTCGGAAGGAGGCTGGCGATTGGGAAGTGAAATGCTTAATTTCCATTCAAGTATCACCTACATATTTCCACCCATTACATCCGTGTGCAAAGATTAGGACTCCTTCAGTCTCTCATGGCTACGTCAATAGTAATAAAATGTATTAATCCCTATCATTAGTCTCCTTATTTTTTCTCACCTATGATACAAAATGACGCCGCAATGGCCGATACAGCGAATAACTCGCTGACAATACAAAAAATAATCCCCAGAACTTTTCTTTCAGATCTTGGCCTCTTCCTCCGAACAGCTTGAAGGAGGGGGGGGGGGGGACCTGATTTCATTCGATGTCCCTGGAAAGCCTCGACAATGCTCAAAATTAATTTCTTTGCTTCTGAAGACAACGAGCCGTCTCTTCCCTCCGAATCCCCCACTCTAATATTCAATCTGACAGAACATACTGGCGCAGATTATCACTTACTAGCTTGGTCGCTCCTTCGGCGCTCCATTACCTTGGATAGTGATTAATTCATTCTTTATTTTTGCGAAATGGGAAACACGTATTAAAAGTACGTCCCCATTGAAATACATGACATGGGGTCGAAAGTCTTGATTTTTATCAAAATCATTACTTCTATGATTCTATGTGTGACTAACTTTAAATCTTTTCTTGTGTCCCTTATTGTAAGGGCGGAGAATACATTTTGAAATACATCCCTCCAATAATCTACGCTAAGGAGACATATTTGAAAAGTAGGATTTTTCCTATACTCAGCCATTAAACAGATACTTCTGAGGGATGATCATCTTTTTTGTCTCTGTTTCGTTAGATAAAAAAAAATTCAGGAAAATTGGACTGAAAAAGTGCCCTGATGGGTTTTAACGACATTTTTTTATTATTAAGGAAGACTCAGGCGAACTCCATGCCACCCAGTTTCAGCCTTATACGTTTCCTCTTTTTGCTGGCGGAAAAAATATATATTTGGAAAAGTGACCCACCCAAACGCTGTGCTCTGAGGAGACGCACAAAAAGTTGAATCTTTCCTTAAATCAACATCACGTTCATTATGCGTTTGTCGGCTGTTACTTTTCTATTTCTGCCTGATTCGGTAGGATATGAAAAGAAATATGAACCCCACAAATATTTTGGAAATTTGACATTTGACATTTGATCTCAGAGTTTCAACGGTCACGTTCTTGCCAGGTTTCAGCTTTCCATGTGTCTCCGTTTAAAGCAAAGAGAGCTATTTGGAAATAGGTTCCCCGAAAGGTGTGCCCATATGGCATGCATCACCAACGTAGAACTTTTCCTGAACTCAGCATGCGAATAGCTACTTATGTTAGTCAGCTACTCACGATCGTCCATATATAATAAAAGTAGAATGTTTACTCAGCTATCCATCAGGTACTTCTTTGCCAAGTGTAAACTTTCAGGCGACCATTTTTTTTTTGCTGGATCAGAAAATTCGGGAAAATACGCCTTTTGCAAAATATGTGCCCTGAGTCGTTTTAACTGAAAAGTACCTTCTTTTTTTTTTTTTTTACCGAAATCCATCCTGAGTCAACTACATGCCCACAACGTTTCAATATAATAAGTTTGCCCTTTTTGCTGGTGAAGAAACATATTTGGAAAAGCCGACCTATGCAAAAGCTGTGCCTGGAGGGGATGCACCATGAAAGCTGAATACTACTTCAGCTCAGTAATACCATGTCACTTATACGTGTGCCAAGTTTCACCTTTCCATTTCTGTCCAATTCGTCAATTTTTTTTAAAACATCGCACATCGAAGAAATTCAATCACGGGAAGTATCGAGACTTAACATTTTCATTTAACTCCTTGTCTCAGTAGTCACATCCATGCAAAGTTTCAGCTTTCCATGTTCATCATTTTAACTGATGCAAAAAAATTAGTTGGAAACATCTATCTGTGAAATTTGTGGCCCCAGGGCATTTACTTCCAAAGTCTGAAGTTTTCTGCAGCATCCCAATTGGTAATTATGTACCACGTTTCATCTTTCCACACTAGCTCAAGACGCCAAGACAAAAGAAATATTTGAAAACGTCGGCATAAAAAAATATCCCCCAGGGCATGGATCTAAAATTTTGCATTTTTCCTAAACTCATCGTCTCGGTAGGCACTTCCATGCCAGTTTTCAGCTTTCCACGTCTCTCCGTTTTACTCAAACCAAAATAATGCTATGGAGGGGGAATGACTAACGGGACATGGAAGGCAAAAGAAGCCGAAAAAGTGTCAGGGAATGACCAGGATTTGAACCCGGACCTCCTGATGGTCGGTCAGATACACTACTACTACACCACCGAACTCTGGACGACCAGTTAATTCCCTGTATGCCATGCTCATCGGTCACAAAATATATTTAAGAAAAACCTTTCCCCCCAAAATGTATACCCCCAGGGCATGTACTTCCAAAGTGGGATTTTTTCTGAACCCTGCATCTCAAAAGGTACATGTGTACCAAGTTTCAGATTTATAACCTTTCTAGAACATGGTTAGAATTAGCGTCAGTCAGTCTGTCAGTCAGTCAGTCACGATCGTCTATATATCAATATATTAGATGAGATACTATATGGCGATTTAAGACCACATATGGTGATCAGTTGGGGATAGAATGATATTTGTTGGTGCATGGATGCACAGAAACCCTTCCCCTTCTTTCCATGTCACCATTGTACAGGGTGAGTCAAAAGTACTGTCCCATCGAAAAACACGTATAACTTCACCAAAATGCAAAATATATTCAATCTTTCTAATCACAAGTAACAACAACAACCTACCGAACACATAGGATCAATAGGACCACCTTTGGCCTGAATGACAAGTTTCAGACGGTTCATAAAGTCATCGACCGATTTTCACGAGGTGAAGACGACCCAGCAGTGCCTGCAGAACAACGTTCCGGGATTCATCAGTCCTGCGGAATGGCCACCATGTTCCCCCGTTGTGAATCCCTTAGACTTCAGCATCTGGGGCAATTAGAGAGGAAAGTAAATGTGACTCGTCACCGTAGTTTGGATTCATTGAAGCTAGCCCTGTGGCGGGAGTGGAAACGAATCCCTCAAGACACCTTTCGAAAATAGGTCGATGACTTAATGAACCGTCTGGAGCTTGTCATTCAGGCCAAGGATCGTCATATTGAGATCTATTGATGTGATGTGTTCGGTAGGTTGTTGTTGTTACTTGTGATTAGAAATATTTATAATGTTTTGCATTTTGGTGAAGTTATACGCGTTTTTCGATGGGACAGGACTTTTGACTCACCCTGTATACCAGACATTATCTCGAAAAGAATGACCGCAAATATCCATGTCATCTCTATTTAACGCCATGACCTAAGGAGAAATTCCACTGGTAACATATACAATACACTGTATCTCCCATTCTTTTCCATACTTCAGATCTCTAGGGTGGTTGGACGAGTATGTGAGTCCACAAGTACTCATCCTCACCAGCACTCAAGAGTACTAAAATAATCTACTGTTTCCCCTCCCGTACTAGAACTTCGGGAGGAGGGGTGGATGATCAGAGGACCTCTCTTCCATTTGGAATAAAGATGTAGTACTTGTGGAGCTGGAATACTACACTTCCTTCATCCCGTGCACTGCTGTAATAAAGAGCTTAACTTCAGCGTTTAATGAATCCCTGAGTCATATTTATTAAAAATATATAATAATTTAATGTTTTCCATATACATATATATTCATAGATTGCATAATAAAAAGTAGAATGATGGTAAGAAAACCTGATACTACATCAGGAATGCCAGTACTTAATATTATTTGTAGGATGCAGGGAACAAAGGTTCCATCTAGTGAGGAATCATGGTACTGCAACTGCAGGATCGTCAGCTAAAGTATCATGTATGGTGTGGTGCTAATTTTGAATAAAATTGATATGATGTATTTCACGTCAGATTGAGTGACGTCTAGTTTATGTAAAATACAGGTACAGTTCGGTGACGTAAATATAGGGATATAAATTTTACGTAAACGTGATGTCATTTTCATGGCAATCGCAAGAATTGCGATTACCATTACGATTACCATTGCGATTTACATTGTTTGCAAAAAATTTATATCTTGTTTATGTAAACATGCTTCTTGGGTATATTCTTAAATAATGGAGAGATCATCATCTGTGATCCCCTAATGAAAACTCATGATTATGATAATGATTTATCTACCAACCCCTGACTCATTTGATGTTTAGGAGTATGGTACTCAGTTGTCATGATAATGTTTTGCCAGCATTGAGGGCGTGTTGAAATGCTGCAACCCCGTTTAAGCTGTCACACCAGAGAATGGCCAGCACCGGGATTCCGACGATTTTCAACATTTATCGTATTTCACTTTTTGTATTTTCCCTTTACCATGCTTCCAATATTGCTTTACCATGGCGTTGTCCATGACTCCTCAGAAAACAAAATCAACATATGCAGAATCATCATCCAATTCCCAACATAGGAAAGGTTCAATCAATCGAGGAGAAATTGAGCCAAACGACAGAATTAACACTAACGCTGATGCCTCTGGAATAAGTCCGAATTTTTTTTCCATGAGGTTTCTCTCTCTCCCTTACAATTTAGACGAACTCCGGAAATTCGTCAATAGGTCCGTTGAAAAAAAAATTAAGATCAGGACACTCCACCCACTTCTGGCCAAGCGTTGAATAAGGTTAAATAAAGGACTCCATCAGGGCATTTTCGGAATAGGCTCTTTTTTGTGGAAACGGTAGAGCAGAAAATATGCATATTGACCAGTGGCGAAGTGAATGACTCTTCCGGAAGGAGATGGTCATTGCCAGATTTGTAGCTCTTTGATCAGAGAGACCAAGGCGTCTGATAGAAGAAATTACCAAGAGCTCCAAATTGTCATCAGCGCCTTAATCAGTGCCAAAAGAAAAGAGGCTATCGGATGAAATATAAATTCATGCCTAAGTTCACTCACCGTTTTCCACGTAATTCGTAAATGAACCGATAATTTCATCCATACATCTGGTTTCAAAAGGAATCAGTGTTTTCAGGGAATTCCTTTTTCATTTTTCGACATACTTTATTCAGACCTTTATCTATATTTCACGGAGAAACAGCATCCTAACATTAACAAGCCACTTGGTCCATTAATGACCACTATCAAAATCAATTGGCTTT